ATGCTCTAAACATGGTGAGCTATCTCAGGGTCCATTTAATCCTCTAAAAGAAAACTAGATAGAAATAACCATGCAGGTATAGTCACATATATGAACCACAATGCTGAACTGGTTTATTAAGCAGTTTGTGTAACTTATTTCACTACAGCAGTTCAAGAACCTGCTCAAAATGGGCAACTTCCATGTTTTTCTGATGCTAAAGGCAATACACCTGAGACAAACCCAGATCAAAACAAGCTGCAATCATGCCAGGCTGTCACTGACCCCAGGAATTCAGCAGTATTTAAAAACCATGACTCCAAGACACACATTGAAAACCCACCAGGGCTAACCAGGGTGAAAAAACCTGATCTTAACAGAAGAGAAAAAGACAGTTAGTTTGAAAAAAGAGGAAAATAAAAGTTGGTTAAATCCCAGAGGACTACAGAAGCAGTTTATTATATAACCTGCTATAAAGGTATGAGTTTTCACAAGCATCTTTTCTCTGTATATCTTAACTAAGGAAAGAAAACGTAACCTAATTATGCACCTAAAATTCGGGTGCACAGTTTATTGTTGAAAGAAGCCAGAAAATCAGAGGAAAAAGTCCCAACCATTTTGTACAGAAGGAATATAAAATCATGGAAATGTGTGGGGCAGAAGAACAATAGCTTTTACCTGATTCTGGACCTAAAATAATTTGATCTGAACCAATGACAAGTTGCAAATATAATTTAAGATCCACAGAATCTTATTTTTATCATGGAGAACAGAAACAAAGATTGTTAAATTACAGATAAAAACTGAATTAATTTGACAAAAATAGTAATTCCTAAGACATTCACATGAGCCTTGACATATTCATTAGAAGTATATGCAAGATAGAGATCAGCCTCAGTACACTAAACAGGAACACTACAAAAGTAAGAGAAGACTTAAGGAAAAGAACATTGACAACATGCAGCCACATTTATATTCTCATTATATAAGCATTCTTCAGTGCTACAGCTTAGTTTCTCCTTTTCTCTTGCTAACAATAGATGCATTATTGACTTTCTATCTATCTTCACACCACAGCCACCAGGAACTGCTACAAAGACTCAGAATAAAGTTTTCAAGTTCTGATATCTGTTACAGAGGCCTAAGAGTAAAGAATCTGATCTAGAAACTAGGCATGTTTACAACATTCAAGGTTAAGTTCTAATGTTTACTTAAAATGCTCAAATGTCCAACTCTAAATATATACTTTTTGTGACATCACTTAGCACTTCTGAAGTCAATCACACTTATGTCACCTCTGTCTACAAGTACACAAACATAATGATGTCTGTTTGTTCACTTAACACAAATCTTTGATCAAGAATAAAATAAAGCCTTTACTAACAAATTCATTTAACAGATATAAAACTTACTCAGGCAAGTTTAAGCTACATGCAACCTCTCTGTCCAGGAAAGTATTTGAGATAATCATGTCTTCTTCTTTGCCAAAACTCTCTGATTTTGTCTTCACTGAAGACACCAAGATATCTTCTAGAAGGGGAACATCAATTAACTGCAGCAGTCGTAGCAGAGCTTGCTGTTTCCAGACATCTTCTATTACTGATACCATAAACAAACAAAAAACCTTCAGAAACAAGATCTTACATAAACAACTAACCTTTGTTTTTACTCACCAAAAAATCTTTTAAGTGTTCAAAGAAAACTCAGTAACAGCATAATGTGAAGTTGCTGTGCTGGGTAAGAAGGGATCAAAATAGGAATGCTAAAAAAAATATAAATGTCTCCCCCATCTAGGATTCAGAATAAACTAATTAGTAGAAGAAAAAAAAGACAAGTGAAAAGCAAAGGAATCACATAATAAAGATAGTCTTAATCTTAAAACCTACTTCCTTCTGAAGTAGTATTTTCATAAATAGCACATTATGCAAAAACATACCCCTGTTGTGTTTCCTTCTGTTTACAAGCATTAACCCCTTTAAGGCTCATTTAGATATTTTGTTATTAGCGACAGGTTAAATTTAGGTCTCCGTGGAGCATTGTTGTACAGAAATGGGGCACTCACTACAAGATACAGTGTTGCAGTGTGATTTCAAATAATACAGTGAAGAACAATCAAGTTTTAAAAAGAAAAAATGCAATCCTCACCTCCTTTTGAAAGCAGGCGAGTTGGCTCATTAACCATGATCTTTGGAGGTAAAGATGCATGAACATATATTGATTGAAGAAGCTCCTCAATCCTTTTTTTATCAGCTGCTTCCAATGCTAAGGGGTTTGAAAGTGTTGTGCCACACTTTCTGCTTAGGGAGGGGGAAAAAAAAAGATGTATAACAAATACTATTAGAACACATTTGGCTTTCTGTTACTTACTAAATTGCTCTTAAATCAGAACTTTATGGCTTCATTATATCTGGAGTCTATCCTGCTACTAGAATTCCTACCATCCACATCTGCTTTGTGGCAAGGGCAAGGATATTGATTCCAAATACTGTTAGCTAGTTCCACTTTGTTTACTGGCTTTCAGTAACTAGCTCATTCATGCTAAGTTTCAGATTTCAGCACAATTGATAGCAAAACCAAATTATTCCTAGGCTTATGCTATTGTGCCAGACTATTTCAAATAACAAACAGCAGATCAAAATACTTTACTCAAAAATACCTGGAAACATCTACAATTTAGACATAATGTTTCTCAAAACTGGCACATACTTTTCAGAAGTCTCCAACACCTGGTTTAGTCAGACATAACTTCATTTAAAGGTAACCTTCCTTAACTTTTTTTAAAAAAGAGAAAAATGGGAATAGTCCAGAATAACTCACTTGGAACATAGTTTTGTTTTCTGTTTGTAGATTTGCTCAGGAGATAAGCTTTCATTGTCCTTACTCTTTCCTGGAAGAAGAGGATCAAGACTGCTGTTTACGAATCTATAGAGACTAGTGTCCGTGTCTTCAAACTCCGTTTCCTTCCCGTTCTTGAATAAGTAAAGCTTGGCTCCAACTGGCTCAAACACTTTGTGATCCATCAGTGCTTGGCATACACGGACCCCCTTCAGCCGAGAAATGTCATTGCAGCTTAGGTACATGCTTTGCATAAGATGGCTCAGTACCACATCAACAGCATTGGAGCCGGTGAAACAGTTTCTGTATGTTTTCAGGTGTTGTCTACGTCTTCTGATTTCCACTTGATTGTAAAGGGCATGTATAATACTATTCCACAGCTGAGTTGCTTGAAAAGGACCATCGCAGTCTGCAAAATGTTTATGTGAAAGTTGTTCAAATTTAAAACCTTTAATACTTTAAAAAAATACACTGTGATTTTAGTTTTATATCTTTTTTTAAATATTCCAAAATCAGCTGAATTTTACAAACACAAAGATAATATTTCATGACTCAGTCCTTCTTGTAAGCTGACTCACACCCACTATGGTAGAATCAAGAGAAGAGAACAAAAATCCACTAAAAACAGGGGACGAAGGGGTTTTTTGGTCATTGTTACGACCACACATATTGTACGTATGTGCTGTGTACATACACATTAAATCATTAGAGAATCACAAAACAGCCGAGGCTTGCAGGAACCTCTGGGGTCTATCTGGTTTAACCTCCTTGCTCAAGCAAGGCCACCCAGAACCAAGTTTTGAATATTTCCAGAAGCCGAGATGTCCACACACGATATCACAACCTCTCTCGGTACCAGTGAAGAGAGTTTGTGTAAAAAACGCTAATCACTTATTTTTAAAATTTTAAAAGTTTAATAGTAATAAAATGGTTATAAAAATAGTAATACAATTACAGTAATAATAATTTGGACAATTTGAATTTGGACAATATGAGACAATAGAGACAAGGAGTTACGGATGTCCGGGTGCCTTTTTCTGGGCAGCACGAGCCCAAAAAGGACACCCATTAACAAAGGATTAACCCTTAAAAGCAATAGCCTGTTGCATATTCATACACTTCATACATGATGCATAAATTCCATTCAAATACAGGATTCTGTCTAGTCATCTTCAGCTTCTTCCTCTGAATCCTAACAGCGCCTTCGAGTTTGTTTCTTCTGATAAGAGGGCAATAAATTCTTCTTCTCTGAAATATTTAGGTGTCCTGTGGCTGCTATTTTGCTGCAAGTCCTTTCTTTACAAAAAGCATCCTACATAGCATAGTGTCTATTTTAACACTTTTTATAACCTAAAACTATATTTAACACACTACTTAAAGAGAATTAATACAGCATTACTTTCTAACACAACACATATAATATTCATTTTAATATTTGTGAAAGCCAATCATAAAATACATGCGTTTTTCACAGTCTGCCTCCACCCTCTTTGCACTCTTGCAAAGACACCCCCAAGGCTTCTCTTCTCCCGGCGGAGCAGCCCCAGCGCTCTCAGCCCCTCTGGGGGAGATGCTCCGAAGCCCCCAGTTGATCCTCACATATGGCGCCCAGATCAGCAGACGACAAACAAGTGTTTGAAGAGCATTAAGCGCGCCTGGCACCCAGCCCAGCTCTCCCAGCGGCGTCCCCCGTAAGCTCAGCTCCAGGGGTACGGCCGGAGGAAGCTCCTCTCCCCCCCGTCCAGCTGCCGAGCCTCCCTAGCCCCGTTCTGCCCGCCGCCCCCTCCCGCGGCACCGGCAGCCGGGGGTGCAGCACAAACAACGGGGAAACGCCGGCCCCTCGCAGCCCGCTCCGCTCCCCGGCCCCTCCGACACTGCGGGGGAGAGACGGGGATGACGCTCGTCGCCCACCTCGGCGCCGCCCGCTCCCCCGGCGCGGCTGCAACTCGCTCTGGCTGCGGATCCTCCTGAAGCGCGGAGTCAAATACCCCGCCATGGCCGCGGCCGGGCGCCTGGCGGAAGCCGGCAGAGCGCATCACTTCCCGCCCGCCGCCCCCGGCCGCGCCCAGCGCCGCCCCTGCGGGTCGGAAGTGAGCCGAGCTCCGGCCGCCCCCGCCCCGCCGCCGAGGCTGCTGCCGTCACTATGGAGTAGTCGCGGCAGGACGCGGTTCGAGCGAGAGACGGAGCCGGCGTGACAGGCGGCCCGCCGGGACCACAGGGCGACGGGCAGCCGGGCGCTGCGCCGGCAGCTTCCCGCGGGCTCAGGTGAGAGGCCGCGGCCCGGGTCGACAGCGGCTGCCCGTGGCCTGGTGGCGCTGCGCGGGGCGGGCAGGGCCGGCCGGCTCCGCGGGGCCGGTGGTCTCGGGTCCTGGGTGCCCGGCGCTGGGGGCTGGAGGGGAAGGGCCGCCCCGGAGGCTCAATCGCCGCGCGGGGAGCGCTGAGCTGCCCGAGCCGGTGGATCGCGGGTCACCTGCCGCCTGTGGCCGCGGCCGCCTGTGCTCGCCCCCGGCGCGCTGCTGCCGGCTGCCCCGCGGAGCAGGGAGCGCAGGCACCGGCCCTGCGGCGCGGAGCGGTGCGAGTCCGCTCTCGCTGGAAATAACAGTAAATACTTCATCCCGGAGCACTGGCCCGCAGGAGGCTGACCGGGGTTTGTGTAGTGCACAGGCTGGGTTTCACCTGTCACCAGGCGACAGACAGAACCTTGTTCATGGATCTCGTTCCGTGAGGTTTTGGTAGGGATTCAGCTGAAGCTCAGTACCGAAATGGTACATGAAAGTTAAGAAATTGACGTGCGGCGAGGGCAGCCTTGTCCAGGCTTCATTGCATTTGATCCTCTCGATGTTTTGTAACAAATGCAAAAGCTTGGTTTTGCTTTAAAAATGCTGGGGTTTTGTCCTTTCATTTGCTGTGACTCAGTTGTTCCAGCACTTACTTCTGTGGCTGGATCCTGGCTTGGGGCAGGTGGGTAGGATGCGGTTGGGCAGCACGAAGTAGCTGTGCAGCAGCCTGCTGGTCTGGGCTCCCCAAGGGGGATCCCAGCTTGTTATAGTTCAGAGTAGTGGTAGTGTGTGTTGTACTGCTGTGCAGTGTGCACTCACAGCCATACATCAGATGAAGCCGTGAATTAGTTTGAGGTTAAACTGCTGGGTTTGCATTATGCAGGTTGTTTTTTTTTTTATGAGTGAGAATTGAAAAATGGTGGGCAGTCTTTGTTTTGGATTTCAGCAGCCAGTATTTCAGCATTTTGAATGTTCTGCCTCCTTTCTGAGTGCAGTGTTGGTTGTTGCTTACTACCTTGCTAAATGATTGTTCTCATCCTGCTGCCTTATGATTGCTGATGTACACCAGTATAAAAACCATTACTGATTGTGAGGGGCATTCATGAAAAAACATATTGAACATCCAGAATGTTTTAGGATTAGTTCCAGGTTTTGCAGAGTCAGAATCAGTAGCATTGATATTACTCATGAAATTCAAACAGGAAGAGTTCTTAAACATCTATTGCATGTGCTGTGTGGCTTGTACAGACACTGTTATACTTCCAATTTTGCATTTGTCTCATTTATTACCTTTTAACTTGAAATGCAAATTTCATTGTGGGTGACTGACTTTAATGCCACTTGGTTATTATTTTTTTTGGAAATACTAGACCAGTCTTAACTGAACAAACAAGTTTTCCTACAGCAGAGAACCAGACTTGTGTATTTCAGATGTGGTTAACTTGTCATGATTTGTGGTGGTATTAGAGATCCTATCCAAAACAGATATTTTTGGTGGGGCATGGATTTTCTAGATACCTTGTTCCTGTTGACATATATAGATTTTTTTTACTGAAGTTGGTGATAGCAATTTTTTTAATAAAGCAAAATGTATTATTTTAACTTATATTCAGATGTTGATAAGAGGATTTCTACAAATTTACGGTTAGGTAGATGTAAGCTTTAAACCCCATCTGCTTATTGAGAAATAAGTTGCTTGGTACTGCTTGCTCAGAAGCTAAATTAAACAATAGTTTACCTGCTGTCAGGCTGGAGGGGAACAGGTTGGACAGGGTCTGCCAGGCTTGAATTTTAAATTCTGGCACTTCAGATACTAAAGTGCTGTTGGCATTCTCACCTAGTGGCTTTTTTAGGCTACTCACTGCAGTTTGTCTGTCACCCACAGCAGAGGACACCTCTGATTTAATGAATACTACACCATTTTCCCATCATCTCTGTAGAGAAAGTTTCCTTTCAGATTTATACAAAGGAATTTGAACATGCATCCACATGCGTTTTCTTAATAATATTTCTGCAGTTAATTTTACAAAGTGTTTGAGAGTCCTAACAAGATGGTGTTGCATTGGTACTAGAGAAGATTTGATGGCTGGGAGTGAACAAAACAATGGAAAAAGCATGAGATCTAAACCCAAGTAAATTAGATTTGGGATTATCTTAAACTCGTTAGGATTGATTTTATAGTCTTTTAGCATATAGAGTTTGCCCACAGAATAGCTGCTGAATAAAATTGCTGAGAGCTGGAAATGCCTATAGATCCTTTTTAGAATAATCCATGATCCTTGTTTGTGCCTATTTATTAGGTTAATGAAAAGTTTCTTCATACAGGGATATTAGCCAGTGTCTTACTAGAAGTTTGGTGTAGGGCTGCACAGTTAGGACTTGCATGTGTTTTTCTATATAATGAATCAGAAAGTAAAATTAATTTCTTGTAATAATGAAATTTAAAATACTGAAATAAAATTACTTAATAAAGGAATTCTGTGTTTCCATAATTTATTTCAAGGTTTGTTCTCAGCAAAACACTAACAATATACCAAACAAGTTTGTAGTTATTCTTAAGATTGTCTTGTTGATTTCAGGCACAGTTTCTCTATCTGAAGAGTCAAGATAGAGCAGCACAGCTGTTCCATGCGCAGTGCTGCACTAAGATTTGCTTGGGGCTTGGCTAATACTGTTACACACAATTGCACTGGAGGGAATTGTCCCATAACACAGGGAACTTTTTAAACAGTTTTGTTTAGTATGTTTATTACCTCTTTTACATTTATAGACCTCTATTACAGGTCTGTCTTTGCAATTGGAACCTAATCAGATTATTTGTCCTGATTTGTAGTGGAATCAAATCTATAGTACCAGAGAGAGAAGGAGTGCATGACCAGGTAACCTCAGTGTGGTTGATTTTGGTTAAGTTTGACTGAAGGATACAGATGTTTTTACATCTTACTTGAAAGAGAGACTGAAGAAATATCCTCAAGTGTTGCTTTTGAATATACTGCATAATACTGATTCCAGGAAATAATTTCTTCTTGCATTCTCTTTTTCTTTGCTCACACAGATAATGAAGCTGAATGTCTATATCTTTTTTTCTGCTGTTTGTTTGCTGCCTTCATTCTTTCTTGTGTACACATTATCAGAGAAACAATTGCATAAATGGCTTCAGAACTTGTATCTGGCAGAATAGGCAAGTCAGATTTATTGAGAAAATATAGAAAACTCTGAAAGTCTACACTACAGGGGAAGATGAAGTAAATTGGAAGCTGCTACAGTCTTATAACTCTAAAATTTGAAAGGTGATGTGAAAAAAAGTTTCCTTGCACAGTTTTGGTAAAGCATAAAAGGATGGATTTCTTGTTCCCTTCCCATGCACTTGATACTTAAGTTCATTAATTGTTGGGTAATACAAATGGTAATGTCAGCAGTCTGATGGGCAAAATATTGAATTTTGAGCTTGTGTTTTGAAAAGCACTGCATAGGAAAGAATATTTCTGTTTTTTACTTGCTGTCTGTATAATACACATCCATTATTTTGCTGGCCTGGGATCTTAAGCAATCCTTCACTTCAGACAAATGAGTAATTCTGTGAGCACTGGAATTAAAGGAGTCTGTGTATTAGTATCCATCAAATAGAGAAACAAATCTGAAGGAAAACAGAGTGTGAACCTTTCCTGTCGGGGGACAGTTTACAAATCCTTTGCATTATTTGATTACAGTTTCCAATAAATGGTTGAACTGAGAAGACCGTGAAACCTTTGTTGTCTTATCTTTGTAGGATAAGCCATTGGTGCAAACTGAAACCATGGAGTCCATGCTGAACAAGCTGAAGAGCACTGTCACAAAGGTGACAGCTGATGTCACCAGTGCAGTCATGGGAAATCCCGTCACCAGGGAATTCGATGTCGGGCGACACATTGCCAGTGGAGGTAACGGGCTTGCTTGGAAGATATTCAATGGAACTAAAAAATCAACAAAGCAGGTGAGTTACCAACTAAAGACCTGTGTTTATAAGCATTAGATGACAGATTGATAGGTAGCAGTTGGAAAGTGGCAGTTAAAGTCCAACTGGACAGACTCATGTTAAGGGTAGTGAAATGACACAAAACCTCAGCATTATTTAAGTACATTGTTCTCAGATATACAAGTATTACTTGCTTTAAGCCTTTTGTCGGAGAAAGAAGTGGTTCTACATTCATAGCATACAATTTGGAACCATGATCAAGAATTCTTCCAAGTTAAAAGTGACCTGACAATAAGTTTACTTTACCATGGATTGGTTCCCCAGTTTGTTGCAGCTTGCAGTTTTCTTTTTGGTAACAATTCTGACTTTTTACAGTTTAAAATGACCACGAAGTATGTCGTCATCTGTTGTCAGCAACCGACACTGTAGTTTTTTGCTCAGCTACCATACAGAAATTGAGCACTTAGAAATGTTAAGTTATGAGATACTGTAACAGGAAGGCATGGGATAGAGGAGGAGGTTGTGAAGGAAGTTATGCTTTCCGTGTGCTGCTTTCAGATCTGTATTGCTCCTTTTTAGTTTCCTTACAGTATTAGGGTTTAGAGCACCAATACTCAAGCATTTGACTCATTTGAAATTACTTGTATAAATGAATATAGGACTGTGACTTCAGAAGAAGGTTTGCAAAAAACAGAGTTTAAGAGTTATTATTACAGAAAATTATTTTGTTGCACTGGAGAAATGTGAAAAGTCTTTTTTCAAATTCAGGGAGGAAATACAAGTTTCAAAGTGTAAATGAAGTGATAATAAATTATGGTCTTTAGTTAAAAGTAATGCTAAGAAATGTGAAGTCACTTAGACAATGCAACAGCTTGCTGCAAATATACCAAAAAGAAATGGACGCAAAGGAATGTCGTTGGAAAATGTTTATACAATCTCTTAGATAATAAGCAAATAAACAGTAGCAAATATATATATAATAGATAGAATAAATAATCTGCAAAGAATGTGTGATCTGATTCTGTGTGACAGAGTCTGAACAATGTTTAATCAGGTATTTTTGTCATGTTTTCATTTTTTTTAGCTGGTGCAGAGCTCTGTGCTTCTTTTATTTACTGAATTTACCCAACATAGCTGTTCATTTGGGCTTTTTTTTGGTCTTACTCAGCTATACACAGTAATAACATTGGAAGCATGGTAATTTTGATCTTTTTTATACGATCTATGTGCCCAGTAAGCATTTGACCTGTAGCAGGTATATCCTTAAGGTCTGGAGAGTTGTAGCAAGTTTTTTTCACTGTATAGTTGACAAAATATATGTAACTAGTTTCCTGTCAATCACCTTTTTCAAGCCTTGAATGGGTGTTCTGACCAACAATTTTACAGAGTTTTAGTTCAGGTTCTCCATGTGGTCCTGCAATATTATCTGTAACCCGGACTAGCATCCGTGCCGTTGCATGCCATCGTTAGTAATTAAAAATACAGCAGCAGTTGTACTGCATGGAATTTTAGATGGCTGGTCTTTTGACATGCAGTTACCATTAAGTATTAATATTACCAGTTAAGTAACACCATGTCAACATTCACTTTGCCATTGCAAAACAAATTGTGCAGCAATACAGGCTTATGGTGTGTTGTATTGCAATATATGTTCTTTACCATTTTTTATTTCTCTCCCATGTACCTTCTGAATGTTCTTTGGGCTGGCTGTCATTTTCCAGGTGATAGCAGTCACTTTTGTGAAGTTGCACATATTTGCTGTATTACAAGTGTGTATATCTAAGTTGAAGCTACAAGGGTTTTTTTGCAGTGTGTATTGTAATCAGACAAGTAGGATGTAAGGCCTTGTTGTTGTCACTTTACCACAACACAATAGTTTAAGTCTTAGAAGTTTAATAGACTTGATAGTTTAAGTCATTGTAGCCAGATAAAACAACTAAATTTGGAGGTTTTAATGTTACAGCAGTAGAAATCTTTGTTTTCAGGATTATTTTTGTTCCTGTTTTGAGTCAGTGGACAGTTACAAATATTCCATCTCTGGTGACAGTAGATATCTCTAACTTTATTCTTCTTTTCCGAGTTCTGCCTGGTTCCTCCCTTGCTGCTTTTCTAGAATTTCTGAATGTTTATCTGTTATTGTTTTTTTAATGTACCTTGTCTTTTCTTGCTTGCTGTGTAGGTGACTTAGTAACAACCTAACAGAATGTGAGGAAATTACTTACCTGTATGCATATGTTTGTCTGGTGCTATTTCATAGCTGATCTGCTGCTGTTTGAAAGATTTATGAGTCACTCTGGTTATATATAGGTGTATAATTTCACAGTATAGTATGTATTTCAGCTCATCTTAGATTTATTAACTTAGACTTTATGCGCTTGCATTTTTTTTGGCACAGTACGTCACTTGTCCTTCTGCTTAGAAAGTGCAATCATAAACAGATAGGGTAAGGTCACAAAGCACTTGCCAGCTCAGTTGTAAAGCTAGCAGAAATCAGGTAAGTCTCAACAACAAGGCTACAGACAGTCAAGAGGGTCCTAATGGCCTTGAATCAGCTGGTTAAGGATCTGAAGCACAAATTGTGTTCTCTTCTGCCAGGTGCAGGGAATTAAGAGTTTAAACAAACCGTGCAGGATTGCAGCAAGCACCAATAGAACTTACTTAGACCCATCACAAAATATTCAAACCATAGCTGATTTAAATACTTTCTGATTCTTTTCACTTGTCATCAAACAGAAGTTTTTTCAGAAGTGCAGTCTTAGTTTGAAATTTTGTTATTGGTCATGTACTGCTCAGTGTATGTCTTCCATCTCCTGTCATTGCTCTTCTCTGCCTTGTGTTAATATTTGATCCATCACACTTAAAAGCTGGAAAAGGAAGCCAATATGGATAGAGGCAGGAAAAGTGTACTTAGTTGAGTTAGTTACAAGTATTCACCTGCTAAGGACTTCATGAAAATAGCTAAAAACCAATTTTTTGTGCATTGGGCTGAATTTCATATTTTAGATAGCCTATTTCTAAAAGTTTATAGGGTTTTATTTAATTAATAATGAAGTTGCTCCTATGAGATTTTAATTAGAGTAATGGTTATAAAATGTGCAGTAAAAGAGCATCGAGTTCCTCTTGGGACTGCAAACTGTATTTTCATATTATTTTCTCCTGTTTTCTAACCTTTATTATTATTCATAATGCTGTTGTAGCAGCATATAAAAGTCTGTTTAATGATGAAAGGTTTTAATTCCTTGTTTTCGTCAGTTGATAAATTTCACATTAACCACTTCCCAGATGCTGATGTAATCTAATTTTTTATTTTACATCAACCTCTGTAATTTCAAAGTTTCATACAGATTTCTTAATTTTTCTCCTGCTCCAGTTGCAGAAGTTGGAGAGGATTTCTCTGTTCTTAATGTTTTTGGTTTTTTCACATCTTTAAGCATTACAAAATTCTTAGTGTTTTATCATGTGAATGGTCTGATCAGATTAATAGACTGCTGTGACTCCTTTGACAGATTGTACTGGTTTGGAGCAGAACACTAAGACAGGACTTGGTTTAATAAAGCAACACTTGATATCTATCAGAATATTTTAACTGTTCATAGTAGATATAAATGCTTTGATCTACTTAAAATCAGGCTGATTTCTGACTGTGGATCTGCTGCTTTGTCACTGTGTAGGTAGGGGTTTTAGTTTGCTCATTACTATTTGTACAATAAAGGAACATTAGTACCTTAATTCAAAATGCCTGTTTCAGGGTTTATCTACAGTAAGGTCTCCCATGACTGGGACTAAATAAGAACAAGTCAGTTTCTTTGTTTGGTTATTGTATTGGTGGGATTGTACTGTTGATTCAAAAACCACATTTGTATATAATTGTGTATAGGCTTAGATTTTGGCTGTGTTATATACTGAGAGAATTCTGTTGCTTATTTTCAGGAAGTGGCTGTTTTTGTCTTTGATAAGAAGCTAATAGACAAGTACCAAAAATTTGAAAAAGATCAGATTATTGATTCCTTAAAACGAGGTGTTCAACAGCTAACTAGGCTTCGACACCCTAGACTACTTACTGTACAACATCCATTAGAAGAGTCCAGGTAAGCTGTAGTAAAGTAGAGAACAGTTACTTTTAATCATTGTTTTGGTAGTGGATGTAAACTGTCTGGAAGATTCAATACATACATTTGATGAGATTCAAGTTTAGTGTATTTATTCATATGACAAGGTATTCACCCTATCCCCATGTTCCCCGCCCCCCACCATAGAATGCAGTTTGGGTGTGAATCAAATTAATAATCTGTTGCTTGATTTTGGTCCAGTTGCAGCTGTAAGGCTACATATGACCATTACAGCATGAAAATTTGGTGCTTTAATTAATTTTGCTTTCAAAGAACTCTCTTAAACTAGTTTTCTCTCAAAAACTTATTCATACATTTTGTTCCATGTATGAGATGTATTTAGTACATGTGAGATTAGAGATTTTTGATAAACTGTATGTGTTGTAGCTAAATATGTGTTGAAAAGGCCCTCAAGTGCCTATCAAGGAAGACAAAATTCAGCATGTTCTTCTAGTGCTTATTTGACTTTTGAAAGGTTGGTCACTAGGAACAATAACTGGTTAGTCTTACAGGTTTATTGTTCAGCTGTAGGGATAACAGCACACTAAAATCTAACATAGAAAATCAAGCTTTTATGTTAAAATAGGAAGCTGATCCTGATACTACCAAAGAAGATCATGGAAGTTTTAGGGTTTTTTTCCCCAAAGAGGAAGGGGGTTGGACTAGATGATTTCCAGAAGTGCTTTCTAGCCCCAGCCATTCTGTGATCCTAATTGTAGCCTGATAGAGATTCATTATATAATGTCCTTCCTTTCTGTGTTGACTTTTTCCAAATTGTTTCTAGGAGCTGCGAATACTGTAGGAATGCTTCTTCATCTTTGCAATGGCTGCTTTGAGACAGGTTTATTGGATTAAATTGCACTTTCATATTCATATCTATCTTTCCTCCAGTGCTAAACACATTTCACATTAACAGCGGTTCAAAGCTGTCATTGCACCTATGATCTAGGATGTCCCTTACAATGGCCTAAAGAAAATCAATTAGGTAGTTGAAGACAGCTCTCAGTACTCTACAACAGTAAACAAACTATTACATGCTAAATGGCCTAGGGTCATCTCAAATTATAATGTATGCAAGTGAATCCCAGAGTATACCTCAGCCTTCTTCCTAAAATTGTCACAGCTTTCCAGTTGACTCAGCAACTTTCCCCCTGAACTTTGCCTTTCAGAAGAAAACACCCAGATTCATACCTTTAAGAAACCTTTGGTGGTGTTCTTGTGAAGCATTTAAGCTTTTTGAGTAAAAGTGTAGTTACATCACAGTTCTTGTTTGTGAGTCTTTAGTAATGCCTCACACTTGGCTTCTGCTGTATTTGTTTCCATACTCAGCACACTCAGCTGCTGGTAGAAACACCAGAAGCACAAAACCTGTACAGTTGCTTGCTGTGCCAGAAATGGATATAACAATTTCTGGAGAAGATTAATAAAATAAAGGTTTATGTAGAATATATGTGTGTGTAACCTTGTGCAAACATACTGTAAGATTGCTTTAGGATTTCAGGTCTTTCCAGCGTGCCTATTCTTGAAGAAATCTCTTGTGAGCCTCTAGCTAGAGTGTACCTGATCTTTCTTTTTATTCCTTTTTTCTTATTTTGTGTTTCCCCAAAGTAGCGTACAGTTGTAATGAACTGCTTGCAGGTCACCCATTATATTCCTCCTATATGATGCAAATAGATACTTGATGCCCCTGGAGGGCTGAAGTAGATATGGAAAGAAAGGCCATAACTTTCTGACCCTAGTGTCTGGATAGCTTTTCCACTATTAATAGAATGTTTCTACTACAAATTATTGGTATCCAACATAGTTATATTTAATATAAATGTATGTAATACATATAATGATGTAAAACCTCTTAATGTTCATTTATATGAGTAACTCCGTATTTATACTGAGTATTTAATATGAGTATGTTTATTTAAAAATGGTCTTGAATTCCATTAACAGCACTGGAAAGCATTATTAATTTATATTTAGCTTGTTATTGAAGAAAAGGATAAAAAAAACAAATTGTGGGTTAACTCATAATATCATTCCTACCCTTTAAAAATAGTAGTAGTGTGAATTGGCCCTTAAAATTTACTAGACATTGCATTTGTTACATTGTTTCCCTGTAGAAAGCATATGTATTTTTAGCTGTCATTTTTTATTTTTAAAATGTTTTTATCTTACTATTCTGACTTTCATGTTGATATTATTCAGGAAATTGTTAAGGCAGTATGCCTTATGGCAGGATGTCTGCCTGTATGGCAGACATCACCTTCTGCAAAATTCTACTATTTAATTAGATTTACTGCATCCCTCCAGTATTGTGGCTTGGGCCCTTTTTTTAATTACCTCCTAAAGTAAAAAATAAAGAGCCATATTTTTATTGCCTCAAACCAGCAGTAATCAGAGAGTTTCTTATGAAAACCATGGAATAACTGTTCCCTTGGTATTTTCATCTGTGCCTCAACCATTACTAAATGGATAAGCTCTATGGTAAAGCTGAAGTCAGACTGAAAAGAAAGTACTTTTTCTTTCTATCTTCTCGTTTTGAGTTGTGTTTATAACAGGAACAAGTTTTATAACCCTAGCCATATCAATAGAAACATGAAAGGTATGTTATTATCAGAATGGGAGGGAGGAAAGCAAGCAAAAAAATTGTCAGGTTGGTTGGCACTTAGCATTCAATGTATTTTACTTTTCAGTTGTTTTTCTTCTAGAGAGGCAGTAGATAAAACTAAAGTCTGGATGGATAGTAAGAGGTTTGCATGTTAGAGCAGCCTTATTTTACTTCAAAGGTCAAGCTTGTTAATTATTGAAATACTAAAAAAAATATGTGGTAGTTTCATGCTGAGCCGTATCTTCTGATGTTTTTAAGTGATCAAAAAGTTAGGCTCTGTCCTCTTACCTAGAACTTTATATTAAAAAATATATCTTTGTTAACTGTTTTATGGTTTGTTTTCTGTGTCCATACTGATGCAGTATTTAGTGTTCTCATGAATTAATGATCCTTAAAGCAGGTATGTGTGCTACCATCCATGTAGTGCTTTCTCAAAAAAAGCCCTTTAAAACAATTAAGGAGTGAATTGCAATGGCTGTCCAGGGCCTCCACTGCTATGCAGAGCAGTGTGAAGAATGCACATGTAAAGAATGACTATGTCTGTGTTGCATGAAGCTTGGGAAATTGAGACATTTATTGGTTTCCAATATGTAAGACCATTTCTGAAATTTGAAATTTTGACAGTGATACAACCGGACCTTATGTATGGAAGTTCGCTTCTTCTGTGCTTTTCAAACACAATTGACACAAAAATGCATAAGCAAGACCATTAATTTTTCATGAAGAAAAAAAAAATCAAGAAAATAATTAGAGAACAATCACTTCACATGCAAACTGCTGTTCATATAACAAGTGTATTTGTGTTTGCGGGTCTTCTCTGTCAGTTGTCAAAGTAAAAGAATATTCAGGTGCTCCCTTATATTAATTTAGTTTCTGATCATTGTCTGACTCATTAAGTACTGCTTCAGTCAGGGATGTGTTGGTTTTAGGCATAGGTAGAAGTCTGATTTTACAAGTTTTAATAGCAGTAAGAATTACTTGATCAATTTGTCCTGGATCAGGACAAGGAAAGCATTATTTTTAAAAAAAATATTTATGAGGCATTGTGTGAATCATTAGTGATTTATATGAATGTTAGAGAATAAAATATCCTAATTCTAGTAATTTTTTCAACTTCAGACATTTATGTGTTTCTCTTTAGTATAATATTAAAAGAATTCAAAACCTGAAATATAACATGGCTTTTGGTAGCACCAGGTGCTTTGGCAATATATTTGATATTTGTATGGTTCTTTATTTGCAGTCAAGAGATATATTACATTTATGTACAAGAAATTTTTTAATGCATTTCCTATACAGGGATTGCTTGGCATTTTGTACAGAACCAGTCTGTGCAAGTTTAGCTAATGTTCTTGGCAGCTGGGACAACCTACCTTCTCCTTTACCATCAGACATTAAAGAATACAAACTTTATGACGTGGAGACCAAATATGGTTTGCTTCAGGTATGGTACAGGTTGTCTTTATAATTTTTTTTTGTGCTTTTAGTGTTAATGATTTTTTAAATGAAGTCAGTACACTGCCAAAGTTTTGTCTGCCTATAGTAAATCAAGTAATTGTGAGGTGAGAGATAATAGTGTCCTGATCTCTCTAAGTGTAAAAGAGGATAAACACTAGAAACTCTAAGGTGCTACTCTTTCTTTGATTGTTCTGACATGTAAACTAGAAACTTAATTTTTATTTTCCATGTAAATGTCTATGCTACATCTGTCTCTTCCATATGTGAATCTTTCCTTTATGTTCTGTGGAGAACCATTAGCTCCCAGGTTTTGTTTGGTGAATATGTTGACCAGCTTCATAAAGCATTTTTGTTCTTCTGAGATGGTGTGGCCTGAGAGGAGAGGGGAATGCACCACCACACTTATGCTGTCATAGTTGATTAACACTAGTACTCTCACTTGTTGATTACCCATCTGTGTTTCATTTCCTTCATGAGTAATTTTTAAGGCATAGGCTAAAATAGGAAAAATTGTTTCTTAGTTAACTTAGGAATTTAACTGTGACTATATGAACAGAATTTTTGTAAATGTCTTATAGGTTGTTTGGGGAAATATTTAACCTGAAATAATGATCTTTTATGAACAGGTTTCTGAAGGTTTGTCATTTTTGCATAGCAGTGTCAAAATGGTCCATGGAAATATTACTCCTGAAAATATAATCTTGAATAAGAGTGGAGCATGGAAAATTATGGGCTTTGATTTTTGTATCCAATCAACAAATCCATCTGAACAGGAGGTAATCATATTTATATTTATTATCATTCAGCTTCAAATTCAGGTCTTTGCCTGGAACCAGTTTGATGATTTTGCATTCCAGTATATAGCCATTTATTTAATATTCACCTCTGTATTTCGTTGGCCAGAAGTTAGAACATATGGCACAGGTCTGGATTGAAGTGCTGCATTTGATAGTCTCAGAAAAAGAGCCTGAGTGAGCTCAGTGGGGTCACAGTAGACTAGTGATGGTTTCAAACAGAGGCTGGAGCCTGTGCCACTTCTGCTCCCCTCTATGTTGGATGACTTGCAAGCCTAACTTAGTGTGTTGCACTTACTCAGTGCCTAGCTGCTACCTTTGAAAATTAATTCCATCATATCTCATGTTTCCCCATTACAGCAGTGCTTTGATTTTACATTACACTTCCCAGCTCTAATATTCAGATAAAACTGCATCAGTGAATCACTCTAAGCTGCAGACAGAGATACTTAACAGTTTTGCCTTACTATGTTGATGTTTGATTCATAATTGAATTTGAGTGGCTTAATTATTTTTTGGTGCTTGAGTTTCTTTTTGAAAATGGTCTTTAAAAATCCTTGATAAATGTACTTTGTTTCGCTTCTCACACTTCTCTTGTAGCCAAAGTTCCCTTGTAAGGAATGGGATCCAAACTTGCCATCCTTGTGTCTTCCAAATCCTGAGTATCTGGCGCCAGAATATATTCTCTCTGTGAGCTGTGAGACAGCCAGTGATATGTACTCTTTGGGAGCTGTTATGTATGCGGTGTTTAATAAAGGGAAACCAATTTTTGAAGTCAACAAGCAAGATATTTATAAAAGCTTTAGTAGACAGCTGGACCAGGTATTTATTCTTTTTATGGTTATTGTTTGTTGATTTTTGTATTTGAAAAGTTACTACTGTAAAGTAGATTTAAATATTGAGAACACTATCAGTGCTCCAACATAAACCATCTGACAATGGTATCTTACCCTGCATACTGTTGTTATAACAAGGAAAAACATCATAGCAAAATATGAGAAATAAAAATATGTTTAGAGGAGGTTACGTGTACCAACTTTATAAACTAAAAATTGCATGTTTCACCTAATTTCTCTGTAAACCTGTTGAATGTGGTCTTGTGAAATAATGCTTACCTGTTGGGGTGAACAGTATGAAACAGCTGGCAGCAAATTACCTGTGTAGGACCACTGAAGAGGGCTGGGTTTAGAGTGATTTGATCACTTGACATGGCAGTTGGTATCCACTTAGCTATCACCATTTCACATTCTTTGTGGACTGTGAATATTAACAGAGGACAGCATCACAGTTAATTGGATTAGCTGACATAATGTCTATTCATATACAGGTTTCCTTTGTTGTAAGTTCTTTTGGTGCCCATTGCCACACAGTATGTACTGTGTTTTAATGTTTGTAGACATCACCTCAGATAATGACATTTGCCTGTTTAAAATAATTTGTTTGTGTTCTCTGATAAGCTGAACTACAGTGGGAAGTTTTAAAAACAGAGATGGGGCCTAAAACAGGTAGGCTCTTGGGAAACAGAGGAGACTGTGAGCAAGAAGAGAGGGATATCAAATGTGTGGATAGAGAAACCATCAAGAGAACAAAGTATAGGCCTGTTGTATATTGGAAATAGTTACATGCAGAGTTTTCTGACTTCATGGTGTTCATGCTTGAATTACTTCCACAGCTGAGCCGTTTAAGCTCCAGTACTCTTGAGAACATACCCGAGGAGGTGCGTGAGCATGTAAAGCTCCTCCTAAACGTAGCTCCAGCAGTCAGACCAGACGCTGATCAAATGACTAAGGTCAGTCCATGGAAAATACAGCAGCCATAGGAAAGAGAGAAATTACTGTTTGATTTGTAAACCTATTTTGAAGTGTTTTCTGCTAATCATTTTATTTGAAATGTTAAATATTTTTTAACCATTTAGATGTAATATTAGTTGATGCCAAAAGTTATCCTTGTGCTGATATTTATTTATAGGGAAAAAGTGGGTGCTGAGACAGAATTTGAAAAAAATTATTCAATTATTCAAAAATTATTCAATGCAACACTGTTTTATTCCTTTCTATTCAGTTGAAAGCTTTTTGGTGCTATGGTTTTATACAATTCAGTCTTCAAAATTATATTGGAAGGATTTGAAAGTGAGGAAATGATAAAGGGCAATAAACGTAAGGATTAACTTTTGTGTATTTTTAAGTATCCAGAATAATAAATTATATTCAGAAATTGTTAACCCCAACAAAGCAAAATTTAATTGCAAGTAGGAAATAATGTAAGTTTTAATTTGTCAAAACTGTTGCTCCATTTTTCTATCTGAAAGTAGCATTGTTCTTCCCTTGTCTTATGCCCCATTTTCTCCAATCTGATAGCTTTTCAGATTTCTGCTTATAGATTTGTTTTGCTAAAGGATTTTTTTTGTGGTGTAAAAAGATGGTATGCAGAGATAGGAATCAGTGTTTTGACTGTTTTTGAAGGAAACAGTGGGCAAAGAAGTGAGAGGGAGCAGGTGATGGTTTTGTGCATCTATATGCTGAAAGATGGGAGTGAGGGAATTGGCAGATATTTCTTAGGGTATCAACTCAATTTTCTGAAGGACTACAACAAACAAATCTGTGAGGGGTTGTATTAAGCAGTATGGTTTTATAAAGATGTTGAGTCTCTTTTACCACATCTGCACACTGAATTATAGGGTAGAGATACCAGAGCTTCCAGGGTTTCTGGAGTTTCCAGGGGTGGGAGCCAGATGTGGATGACCTAGTAGGTCATCTTGTGTTGTAATATAATATAATATAATATAGCATAATTATTCCTAGAAGAATATTTATTCAAAGTTTTTATTTTACATTGCATTTTTTTTGTAAGCCACTAAATGAAATAATGTTTTAACTTAGATACACATAACATGCATGAGTTTTTGAAAAATGCTAGGAAAATTCTGTCTTAATAATAAACCTGTATCTGAATATCTTACTACCTGATATGTAAAAATTTAATTTTCTAATTGTTAGTTGCAGACATGTCATTGTAAAAGCTTACTGTCATGCATTGAAAGGGTAGGTAGATGATAATATTTTGGAATTATTGTAGCAGTGTCAGTGTTGTCCCCTCCAGATCATAACCTTTAGTCTTATTTTTAGATACCATTCTTTGATGATGTAGGAGCAATGACGCTTCAGTATTTTGATTCATTATTTCAAAGGGATAACCTGCAGAAATCACAATTCTTTAAAGGACTACCAAAAGTTCTGCCAAAACTACCTAAGGTATGTCTTGTAATGATGTCTTGTTTAGCCAGTTTGAAACATCTGTTAGCATTTTGACTCTGGAAAGCTGGACTTTCTGTAGCATTGTACCATAATAGACTGCCATGAGACTGTCAGAATAGAGTAGAAGGAAATAAAGGGAGATTAGAACCTGCTGATTCTGGAAGTATTCCTCAGCAATCAATAATACTTTAAATGGGAAATGGCAAATAAGCCAAATAAGGAGCCATCATTTGTGTGTCCTGTTGTAGTTCATCCCAGTTTGAAAAGGAGTTGTCTTCTCTCCACTTAAAGGCTTTCCCTGTGTTTTAGATGCCATCAGAGCTCTTTGAAGCCAATTTGCCACCTTTTTTTCCTATAAGATTGCTTCAAGTTTTTTCGTAGCAAGGCAGTGCTTTAATGTTGAATGATGCAAAACTTTCTTCCCTCAGTAGACTGAGTGCTTTCTTGTGCTGGCAGTGCTCAGAAATCTCAAAGGCAAATGCCTGTCATTACATATTTCTCTTGTGCAGTATTAAGCAAGATGTCTAGACAGGCTCCCTTTCCTTTTCTGGTATACCTTAATTTATATAAGCCGTAATGCACATGGCATAGAAAAGTAGTATTAGTTTAATACATAATAGAATAACTGAGCTTCTCAACCAGTGCATTAAATTTCTGTATTTTTAATTCTGTTTTGCAGAATTAAAAATTGCAACATTTAGACTCCATAGTCAATACTCGATTCTTTTTAATTTAGTAATTTTTTCGTTTGATCAGATATGGTTGGTGCTTTGAATTTGGAAATAAGTGGCATTTATTTCACCTAACTTTAGACAGCCACTGATTGATCAAATAATCTTTTTTTTTTCTGTCTTGAAAGTATATTTTATGAGGGAAATGACTATGCCCTTGAACCATATATTTCTGTTTATTGACTTCAAGAGCATTTAAGGATGTCTAACGCTACAGTAGACATCCACAGTTTTAATATCTGTTTCATCAGCAGAATCCTAGTTGGGGAATGTGTCTGGAGTTTTGCAGAAAGATATAGCAGGATTATGTGTTTGTTCAGTGAATTATGGGGATCAGAAACAAAAAAAATACTAATTTGGAGGGTTTATAGGGCATTATTAAAGGTCTTGTTAGGGTATTTTTAAAGAAAGCATATGGAGCATGGTTTTCATAACTCATGTGTGGCTCAAAGTCCTATTTTCTGTACAGTTAATTGCTTTTTGTTGTTCTTCACAGTTGTTAATTTTGAGTACAAACACAAAATTAAACAGAGTAGCACAGTGTAAATTAACTGCAGTGTACTGTGCCAATAAGAGATCAGAACTGAAAATTACATGTCTACTTTTTTGTAAATATCAGGCTAATACAGAAGCTGCTGAACTGGCACAATGGTAACTTACTGCGGTGCAGTACATGATTCATACTTGGGGTTTTTTTTCTTTTAGCGTGTTATAATTCAGCGAATTTTGCCTTGCTTGACTTCTGAATTTGTGAATCCGGATATGGTGCCCTTTGTCTTGCCTAATGTTCTCTTAATTGCTGAAGAGTGCACCAAAGAAGAATATATCAAGCTCATTCTACCTGATCTTGGTCCTGTTTTTAAGCAGCAAGAACCAATCCAGGTATGTTAATATTATTCATATTACAATTTTTGTATTTGTTTTTGTTTTCCCTGAAAAAATGACTAATTGTTCTATTTCCCTTTTCCAGCTTCACACACATTGCCCAGTCTGCTCTGTAGTTGTCCAGGCAGTCTTGATTCATTCAAAATTGATTTTTCCAGGAAATTTTCAAAGCCTCTACCTCTGCTTGTTTAGATGAGTTCTGAGGGTATATTGCATTTATAGTGAGATGAGATTTGCAAAAAAGGTTTCATTTACCACTTGGTTTTGGTTGATTGTAGGAAATATATTTCTATGCATGTTAACACATATCTTGGCAATCTGAGCAGGATTGTACAGTACAGTTTGCATATATTCTACCAGTAGATGAACCTGGGGTTTTTTGAGTTGGGTTTTTTCTTCTATCCAGTTTGCTGACATTGGGATCATGGGGTGGAAAAGTTGTAGCATTGACACTCTCTAAGAAGTGCTCTTTATTCATATTAAGAGTAGCATTTGTTTGAGGACTGTGCAAAAATTTGTGAAATTAATTTCATTTTTATTTGGCAACTGTAATAGGTAAGTAAAATATGCTGTTTTCCCTGCTGTTTAAATGTATAACATTAAGACATAGTCATTACTGGAAAGGAGCAAAAATTTGCATCCTTTTGTCATCACCGTGATGATTCCTGAGAAATCTGTTGCAAAGTAGGGCATTGTACCTCCACAGATGAGAGACAGGTATGCATTCCTTCTAGCTCACTCCTGTGTGCCATTATTTATCTGCAGAGTACTTAAAGGGCAAGGTAAGCATAGCAGACCTTTGATTTCTGGATTTCAGAAAACTGGACCAGAGAAGTGTCATTACACTGTGGAGGCAGGGAAGGAAGCAGCTGTCTGAGAATACCTCAGGAAATTTGAACTACTTAATGCTGTTTATACTTTGTACACCGAAGCTTTATGTTAATTCTTTTGTCTTGAAAAAAGTCAATGTTTAAGTAACCAAAAGCCAGTGAATATCTCATTTGTGCTGTGTCATCCTAAAAGGTAAATCTGTGTTCTGTTGCCTTTAGCATTAGATTTGTGACATAATCCTTGCTGCAAAACGTTTGTAGCAAAGTTACATCTGGAGCATAATGGACACAAAAGCTGTTTGTATCTTGAGAGATGAAGGAAGCAAAATACAAACCTGGAGTCAACTCATAATGACAGATCTTTGCAAAGCTTCTCTGTGACTATCTAGACACTATTAAATTCTTATGCTGGTATTTTTAATGCAAAGTACTGCATGGCTTATTCAACAATTATTTCTATGGTCTTTTTAGTATGGCAGAGTTTAAATAATCTAGGTCATGTTTTCAAAGTTAATATATCAGGAATTCCAGAAAAAATTAGAGGTTCAGAATGCCAGAGGATAGATTTCCAGGTGTGACTATCTTTGTACAAGGCAGAAATGTCTGGTTTCTGTGTGCTTCTAACTCCTGGAGAAGGGTATTCAGGGAAGATGCCAGTGTTTCTTCCAAACACTTTTTCAAAATGTTACAGATTTGTATGAGGGGCCTGTTGCTTGACTTTAGTAGGATATTCAAATTAGGAAATGAATGCATCATAGGAAAGCTGCTCTAATTCAAGATGAAGAAATTCAGGTAGTGTTTCACAATGTCTTTTTGTAAGGGAATTCATAATATGAAAATGGAATATTTAGATAAACTTATTCTTCTTGTTAGTGTGGAGTAATGTGTGCTGTGTGTTAAACTCGTAGCTTACTCTGACATAGCTTCCCAGACAAACCCTTAATTTGTATCTACAGGATTCCATAGACAGCATAGGATGTGCTGTAAATTCATTTTCTAGTTCACTACTCAGAAGTGGTCCCTGACAAGTACTGGGCCCTGCATTAATGAATGAAGCATTGTTACTTAGAGTGCAGCTGCTGTTAATTGCTTAGTAAATGGTGTGTGTGAATCAGTACCTTCTCAATTTTTACCTAAATAGATAAAAAGTATCAAATGGAATCATCGAAGCTTAAACATAGAAACTGTAATTCCACATTACGTGGTTAGGGTTGTTAGAGAAGAGCAGGGGTTAAAAGAACATGTAAGGCTTAAAAACTCAAGTTTAGGACAAAAATTGTGTATTGAAGAAAACCATGAAATTTAGCTTTAAAACTAGTCTCGTCCATTTCACACTGATTGTCCCAAATATGGGGATATTACATCAGAATCAATGTTCATGGAACAAATGAATGATTTTGTATGTGTGTGTGCAATTTGGGAAATTACACATTTCCAACAAAAAAACACATATTAGCTGCACTATAAAAATCTATTTTTCTTCTCTGTGAAGAGAAAGGGGAATAAATAAAAGGGGAAAATTTGTAATGGGGTCTTGGTACATTTCTGTTTCTACACTTCAGTGCTTCTGTTTATTTGACATAGAAGACATAGAATCATGACATACATGATTGCCATGTATTTTTAGACAAAAATGTAAATGTTCCTATAAAATACTTGGCTTTTTGTTATAAATATGATACTTCTAAACATAATTTATCCATCTAGTTTAACCTGTTTCCTGAAAGGAGTTCTGCTATCAATGGATGCTCACTGTCCCCTCTGGCACCTGTCCGAGTTGTGATACGAATCTTATGAGTGCTCTGTATTTAAAACTGAGCTGGCTGAGTGATTTAGAATAGTGTTTAACCTTTAGATGGCTAATCTTAAGCAAGATGGATCCCACTATGCATATGTGCTATTCTAGTTTTTAAGTTAATGTGATGTGAATATTTTATTTGAGGAATATTTTATTATTATCTTTTTAATTTCAGGATACACAATTTCCATGTTAAATAGAATAAAGGCTTATTTTTCCATCTAGTAGCCATTATATTGTTTTTGTTATGTCCCTATTTTGATTTTAGACACATGGAATACAGCTGTATATGTGGAGTTGTGATCAAGTGCTTTGAGGACAGAATTTGAGTTACAGTTTTTTGGAAGTTTAGCTTTTGTAGCTGTGATGTGTGTATAAAGATTTTCTGTGGGTGAATATTAACAAAAGACTATAAAGAGAAACAAGAACTATTTACAAGTTCATGTAAGTAGAAACAAGAACTCCTTACTGAGTCATTATGGTTTGTTATTTCAGAAGAATCAGTCTAGAACATACATATTTTGTTGGATTTGTATTTGCTGTTTTTAAAATGCAATAACATGTCAAAGTGTTTTTTGTCTTCCATGCCTTCAGGCAAGCAACATGGTAAGTGACCATATTTCCTGAGTTATAAGAAAACTTCTGAAGTTTTTTTGATATGATACAACACACTTTAAATTGTAAATATATCCTTTGCAGTTAAAACTTTTGGCTTCTGAATTGTCTTTCTTTGAATAGATATTGTTAATCTTCCTGCAAAAAATGGACTTGCTTCTAACCAAAACTCCACCAGATGAAATAAAGAACAGCGTTCTACCAATGGTTTATAGAGCCTTGGAAGCACCTTCAATTCAGATCCAGGTATAGTAGTTGCAGCCTTTATTTAAAACTTTTCTTTTTTCCTCTTTCAGCTGACATGCCAACTCTTTGTGTACTCATGTATTTATTTACTTAAAAAAACCCCAAAATTGTATAATATGCCTGAATGTTGAAAGAGATGAATGCTTTATTAAAGAACATTTGTTTCTGTTAATGTAAAATTTAGTTTCCTTGTTTTCCGGGAAGGTAACCACTTGGCTGTTGTTCTAATGCTCTTATCTTAGATTCCTACTAGCCACCATAGCAGAAAGTAGGATATGCATTTATATTTCACTGCCTGTGCAGCAGAAACCATGCAGGCATGCATGCTTTACCAGTCAGTGAGAGGTGGCTTGTTCTGAGCTCCTGCTGCTGAGAACATCTGTGCTGACAGTTACCTCAGGAGACCTGTGCTGTAAACTCGTATTAATCTACATTCTGGTGACATTTTTATATACCCATGATTTTTTTTCTCCTTAGTCTTTCTCTACCTTTCTAAAGTTCTTCTGGGGATTTTTTTTTTAATCATTCAACTGCAGTTAACTTCCAGTTACCCAAAAACGTTCAGGAGCGGGAGATAAAGAAACAAAATATTTCTCAAAGGCGGTTTTGGATAATCAGATGTGACTTCTGCCTTTGTAGTATTAGGGACAAAGGTTTTTGTTTCTAAGTATCTGTCATGAGTTTCTTTCTGCATCAGTAATTTGGTTACTGAGGTGTTTACTTACAACATATACTTAGTATTGCTGTTTCTTTTTTTTGAGATTGGTCTGAAATTATGTGTTTATTTTTTCTCTGGTGCTAAAGTATGGTTAATCTTGACATGATATTTTATCATTCAGTCTATCATTTTACTGCAGTATTATTGATAGTACTCATTTTCTTGATTTATGTAAGAGATTGGTAGTTTGGTGCAGTAAAAGCTGGGTTTTATATAAATGAGCCTCACGAAAATGCAAGATGTTTTTGCTGTTTAAATATTATGAATTTAAGAAGGCTCTTTTTTTATAAAATCCGTTTTTGAAGATTCTGTACACATGCCATAATGCTTTATTATTATAGCTATTTTTAAGTGAGTGTGATAGATTAAGGGCAGCTTAGCTGAACAGATTTTCTTAAGAGGAAAGCATAAGAAGACACTTCAAACTAACTGATATTGAGTTATATTAGTACTAATTTTATAATAAATGTGCATGTTTCTTTTTAAACTTGCGTGTTTTTGGTTTTCTTTTAGGAGCTTTGCTTAAACATAATTCCCACGTTTGCCAATTTAATAGATTACCCATCAATGAAAAATTCATTAATTCCAAGAATTAAAAATGCATGTTTGCAAACTTCTTCTCTTGCTGTGAGTATCATAGTAACATTCTCTAGTATTCAGAAAATATTGTAACCTTTAATTACTTTGGGTCTACCATGTTGCATCTTTAAAGAAAAGCCAACCATATTGTTCTGATTTCTTACTGAATTTTTTTTAAAAAACTTCTTAAAAGTGCAAAAGCATCATTTCTTTGCTCTAACAATTTTTTAAGTTGTTAACAACTTACCATGTTAGTAATAGTGTAAAAATCACTGAAGTGAGTTCCACAGTAATACATGTTGACAATGTTTGTCATGCAGAAAAGCTAAGTTTTTGTGAGCATAAAAACAAGTGTTTTTCTTTCATGATACAAAGCCTTTTTTTAGCTTGTCTTGAATTTTTCAGAACAAAGATTTTCTTACAAGTTTTGTAAATTTGTTTTGGGTTTTTTTCTATAAATAAAGGCTTTGTTTAATTCTTATCATACTTCACAGGTCCGGGTAAACTCACTAGTGTGTTTGGGCAAGATCTTGGAGTACTTGGATAAATGGTTTGTGCTTGATGATATTTTACCTTTTCTACAACAAATTCCATCAAAGGAACCTGCGGTGCTCATGGGAATTTTAGGTAACTAATACTTCCAACTTTCTCTTTTGTGTTTTGATACTGTAAATCCAAGAGCTTTCTGTGTTACCATTGAACATGTTTACATAGTGTATCCCTAAAATGACTATTAAAAACTTTCTGGTTCTGGAGTATGTCCCTGTTCAGTTACCTTATCTATGACATTTGAGCACTAGTTCATATATTTTCAGTCTTCAGGACCCGGTGCAGTTCTGAGTACTCACTGCAGTTCTTGGACTGCAACACTTACATGGACTAGGTGCTCCACAGAGTCAGAGGTGCTCTTTTCTTCAGAAGAATATATGAACTGTCATCTTTCAGATGCTGGAGCTTTTGAGATGTTACTGTTGCCTTCTTTTACCACTCTTGCATAGCATATGCTGTAAATGATGGTGAACAAATCTGCTGTTCCTTACTGCAGGTTTTGTTAGACTCATTTTGTTGGATATTTAGGCACACAGTTGTGCCTGTGGGCAGAAGTGGAACACAGTCTGAGTGAGGTCTCCCAAAATGACTAACAAAACTCAATGGTTTGGTAATTCTGCAAGGGGAATACCTCACTCCCACTTGAGCTTTCCTACTGCCGCTTGATGCTTGCCTTTCGCAGGGTGTGTGATTTTAGCAAATTGAATGGGCTTAAGGAATCCAGATGACCAGAGCCACTGCCAAGGAAGAGTTGTGACTCCTTGGCCAAGTCTGGAAGACAGTGACTGTTTCCCCTCCTGACACCAAAGTGGTGTAGACCAGTTGTAACAGCTGAGCTGCACTGCCAGGAGCCCTCATTAAACACTGTGCTCATGTGTGATGGCAGCATTATTTTTATTTGCTCAAAAGCAGCAAGAAGGCATCTTGTCTGTACTGATCTAAAGCTGCCTGTTTCCCTTAACCCTTGCAGCTTCGACTTTTATTTGCTAAGAATAAGAGACTCTATTTTTTGCTTTAGCTGTGTAAATTCTGAATTCTACTCAGATACAGTAAGTGAATCCTGGTTTGGAAATGATGGGCTGAAATCAGTTTTATGTACTCAGGCTCTCCTTTCTTCCATAATCATAATACAATCCTTCACTGTCTTTGTCTTGGTGACAGCTCTGTTCTACTACCATAGCAATTGAGGAAAGCTGCTGTGTCTTCTATGCTAATATGTTCAGTGTTTGCTACCAGAGCTACCAGATTCTTCCTGTCAGAAACACTACAAAACATTTGGGCTTAACACTGGGTCTCTCATGCATGTCAGGATTCTTTTCCCAGTGAATTTGAAACAGATAAAGATTATGCATGAGTTCTGATACTATGTGTAACAGTCCAAAACTTATAGTTGACAGTTTTTGTAAAAAAACCATCAGAGAGCAGGATGATAGTTAATCCTAGCTACTTGTAGTGAGCCAGGAGAGAGAAAACACACCCTTAGTTGATGCAGCTTGATTCCTCAGTGGCAGTGTGTCAGTTTGTGGCAAATCACTTGCACATTCAAAGATGTATATTCTCAAATAATTGGCCCGAGCAAGGCTTTCAGTAATACCAGGTTTCATAGCTGCAAAGTGAGACTTTGGACATCTTGTTCTGATCTGTAGCAAAGCCTCTTGCAGTTTGTGTGGATCAGTACTTAGCCTTTAAGTCTCTTGGCCATGTTTGTCCCTGCTTGCACACAAGCACAGTGCTTGCTCAATACATGTATGAGTGTGCTACTTTCAGTTTGTTGACATTGTTTGCTAAACCTAACAATTTCTCTTATTTTGATATGCTGTGTTAGGTATTTACAAATGTACATTTACTCACAAGAAGTTGGGAATTACCAAAGAACAGCTTGCAGGAAAAGTATTGCCCCATCTGATTCCTCTTAGTATTGAGAACAATCTGAATCTCAATCAGGTAGGAACACAACTGTTTTGCATGCTTTTCCTTGACAATTATCAGAGGATAAATTTAAACTGTTGTCATAAAAAAATTCATTCATTACTGCATGTCTGTGTCTATTGTGAAAATAAACAATATAAAAACCCTTCCCAATTTTACTGTATTGCTGTATTTGAAGCTTGGTTTTTTTTAGTGTATTTAACTGATCTGGTGTAAAATTTCAAAATTAATACTGTCACCTTCCAAATACCCTGCAAAAGTAGTTAGCTACTAACATAATAAGTATTAAAATAAAATGCTATGATGCTATGAAATATTGGGAAAGGGAATAATAGGTTGATTTGTTTGTTTGAAAATGACTCTGGTAATACTCGTGTGGAGGTTTTGTCTGCATTGGTCCATTTCAATTTTTTTAGTGGCATGTATTTTTCCATGTTTCACTATGCACTCTGCTTGTAATTTGCTATCTAATGCACAAGAATGAAGGTGGAGTACAAATTATTTATCTTACATTGTGTAAGATGACTTTATCTTACATTATGTATTGTAGGTTTATGAGGTATTACCTGCTAAGTTACACCTATCTGAATTCCATCACTGCAAAATCCAAACTTCTTATGTATTTCTTTTCCAGTTCAATTCTTTTATTTGTGTTATAAGAGATATGCTCAATAGATTGGAAGCAGAACATAAAACAAAACTTGAGCAACTTCATGTCATGCAAGAACAACAGAAGTAAGTGTTAATATTTTGTGTTGGAGAAGTAGTCATTTTTTGGCAAATGTTAGAGAACTCTAGCCATAGCAATAAAAAAATCAGGTAATTCTAAGTTCAGAAGTTGAGAATTATCTCAAATAAGCACAGTTGGCAGAAGATCCACTTCTATGTGCTAAGCTGCTTTCCTGTACTTGCTGAGAAATAAACCATATCAGAGAAACATAAACATGGCTGTGCTATTTTGAAGTACTTGGTGCTATTTTATGGAGCCTGATATGAAGTGAGATTTCTGAGACAAAATAATTTGTGATATCTGAAGTCTGGGTCACCCTGCTCAAAGGGAGAAATGAAGACCATGGGAGATTATTAGGAGATGTTTACTACTTCTCAAAGGAACATTTGCCAGTCTCCTGAAGGCATTATATAAAAGTGGTTGCTCTCAGTGCAATTGTTTGGTATTATTTAAATGCAGAAGAATGATCTGCATTGTTAGATTAATGTTGTGGCTGTGATTGCAAAGTTGTCTTGTTGTAATATACTCTGCACTGTGTAGATCCTTGGACATTGCCAACCAAATGAGTGGGGGTGAAGAGGCAAGATCTAGTGGTACAGGCAATCAGGTAAGTAACAGTATGTAACTTACACATGGAATATTGAAATTTAAAATCACTTAGTTGATATTTACATAGCCTTAAATTGCAGTATTTCAAATAATGAAGCTTTTTTTCTTGGAACTTTACCAGATTGACAAGGTATTTAATAATGGAGCTGACCTTCTGACTAGTGGATCTGATAGTAAAGAAAATGAGATGTCATCAATACAGAGAAAGGTGTGCTTTGCTTTTTTTTTTTTTTTTGTAATTCTTTTTTTTTCCATCTGTCTAATCCAAAGCTGATAGGGTTGCAGAAAAAGTGTGTAAATAGGTACAATATTTAAAGCTTTAGTAGAAAAACTAACTGCTTTATATAGTCACATGAGAAGGTCCATAAAAAACGTTCAGATCATATCCTTCAGTTTTCATGTAAGCCTTTCCTTGAAAATATGTTTGTATGAAGCAGGCAGCAAATAGGATTATAAATTTGTGGTCATTTGCTTTCTCCTTAATTATAGATTTAAATGAAACTGAAACTTCACCACTGGATATAGGTACGAAGAGTAAAGTGAAGAGCAAAGTTAGACTGTATGACTAATTGAAAAATGACAAAGAAATGAAGATAAAATGTAGAATTTTAAGTAGTAATAGAGACTAAATTTTACTGTACCTTTCAAAGTTAAGTGAAAACAGTCAATATGTGGTTAAATACAAGAAGTAAAGGAAAAACATAGCATAACATAAAATATAAGCAGTAATACTTAAGCTTTAAGTGTTGTAAAATTCTTTTTGTACTAATTATGGAAATGCTGCCCAGAATCTATGTTTTATAATTTTTCTTTTTGGTTCTCTGAATCCTTGCATTAATTTTAAAGTAAGGGGGAATGATATAATTATTTCATCCTTCATTATTAACAGAAGTGGAGTTAAAATCGTCAAAATACTCGAGCAGTTTTAAAATGAAATTCCCTTTTCAACTCCACAGTCAATTGAATTTCTAGATCAAGTTAGTAACCATATAAAAACAAAAACTGTGAAGAGCACTTTTTCTTTTGCCAATATTAAGGAAACAAAGCTAAATTGGTTTTGCTGATGTCTCTCTTATTTGAGATCTGCCCAAATTTCTCATTATGCTGCTCTTAATATTATATTTATTTGCTTGAAGTACTTTCTAGTGATATGGTAAATATTATAGTAGGTTTCACTTACTGCCTTTCTCTTTTGTGTAAATAACTGTATTTATCACATATTATTGAAACAACAGTGCTAGTATGAAATAAAAATATGAGTGTTAGAATAACCATTTTGTACAACATACTACCAGTACTTTCCCTTTTAAAGGCCTCACTTACACTGGAAGAGAAGCAAAAGTTAGCTAAAGAACAAGAACAGGCACAGAAACTGAAAAGCCAGCAACCTCTTAAGCCCCAGGCAACTACAGTGACACCTCCAGTGAAGCAGGTGAGAGAGAACAAACAACTGCACTGTTTCCATTGGAGCTCTGATGCTTTTTCAAGGGCTGTATGCATTTAGCATATTTTTCCTTCTGTGAGTCACTTTTTTTTTCTCCAGTGGTACAACAGCACAGCTGAGAAAAGCTAAATTAAATTTTCATGTGCCTTCCATTTGCATAATTAGCAATATTCCCACTTTTTAAATTACTAGAGTTTCCAAGGGTGTCATTATTATCAGAAGGTCATGGTACTAGATAAGAAAAAAGGATATACTAAGAAAGGTTTTTTCTCTGAAGAGTTTCTTAAGGAAATACATATAAGATTTGGGGATAGGAATGAGGCATTTAAGCAAACAATCACAGTAGTGCTGTGTGTGGAGTCTTAGATGTCAAATTAAAGCTGCATAACAATTAGTTCTAAGTAGCAAAGAACACAAATAATGTAATTTCTCTTGTGTATTATTACATTTCATGCACAATTCCGTGCAGTGAATTCTAATTTCTGAAAAATTAATACCAGGTCTGCAGGGGTAACAATAAAATACTGTTGCCAGAGTCTGTACAGGGAAAACATTTAACTGCATTTTATGTATTTTGCAGACAAAAGACTTGACAGATACCTTGATAGATAATATGGCATCTTTGACCAGCCGTCCTATCAACCAAGCTCAAGTTGCATCTTCAAACAGCTTCTCTTCCGTTCCCTCTATGGGTGTTGGGATGGGATTTTCATCACCCATTGACAACACAAAGAGAAATATGACAAATGGACTAAACACAAATATGGGATTTCAGACTGCTGGATTCACCATGGGAGCAGGTCTCGCCACTCAGAATTTCTTCAGTGGTCCAAGTGCAACAGGAGCAACCAAGATGAACATGGTACCACCTGCCAATATGCCAAATTACAGTCCTATGAATGCTGCATCTGCAATCTCTCCACTGACACAACAAAACAGACCCCCAGATATGTCTGCTTTAGATAATCTTTTTGGTCCTCAAAAACCCAAAGTTAGCATGAAGCAGTTGGCTCAACAGAAATCAAGCCAGTGGGTCAATCAGTTTGTGCCACCTTCAGGGTCCCCGAATGCGAGCAATACAGCCTTGGGACCTCAGATGAACATGCTAGCACAGCCAGGCTTTGGCATACAGGGTAATCCTTTCTTTTCTCCTCAGAACTTTGCACAACCAGCAAACACAATGACAAACAGCAGCTCAGCTAGCAATGACTTAAAAGATCTTTTTGGGTAAAATGTTTTGTTTTCTTCCTTCAAAGATTGGTGAAATTTGGATCATGGGTAAGCTGATTAACATCTTGTTTTTATTAATAAAAGCATGACTTGGGGAAACTATCAACCCAGCAAAGTAAAGACTTCTGGGCAGGAAAAAAGGCTGATGTTTCATTCACCTGGTACTGCAGTGGAATTGTGTGAGTGCAAAGTCATCTTACATGCTAAAGATTTCCTGTCTCTTTACCAACATGAGAGTGCTGAAGGTAGGATGCGTATATTCATCTGAAAAAAGAGTATATTGAAATTATTCAGAGCTGAATTCAGTCAAGTCCAATGAAATTCCCTACAAAATTTTAAGTTAAGCAAAAATGCTTATGGGGTATAATGCTGCTATTGGATGCAAACCTGGAGAATTACTCATGTTGCCTGAATTTGTCACAAGCTGTCATTTTGTCCTATGACAGTTTGCAAAAAGAAAATTCTTATGCTGACCTAAAAATTTTGATAGCCAAATTATACAGAGAGCACTCTAACCCATAACTAAGGGCGAGACTAAGAAGGGAGCGTATTTTGACTTTCTTCTCTCATGTAAGCTAATGTAATGAATGTGGTAGTAAGATCTAACAAGATTCATCAGGCATAAGAAGTTGTTCTAAAATTTGATTCAAGTTTGGGACAGAGGAAGAACACTGCTTCAAAGGTCATGCTGGTTTACAAGCTCTTTTATAATGCCACATCCTTGTTACAAGCCCCATAGCAAAAGCAACATACCACTTAAGCAGGATTTTAAAATACATGTGGTGATTTCATCACATTTACTGTATATTCCATTGTTTTGGCTAGTACGATGCTGCTTCTAACTGATGTGAAAAAAACCCTGTAGTTATGAAACCTCAAAAAATGAATGTAAATGTGAAATTCATGTTGACTGCCCCAACTGTGTAACTAAACACACGTTACATAGTTACAGAGAAATATCTTGAATTAATTAATAATTTTTGGCTCAATTGAGACAATGAAAAAGGATCACCTTATACAATTTGCACAGGGTTTTATGAAAAAGCAGACTGCCATAAATTGCCTTGACTAAGAGTGAACTATTTCATTTTACTTTTGGTTTAAATCAAGTCCTTATGAAGGATAGATTGACATGAAGTGATTTCTCAAATACGGATTTGTAAGCTCTAGAGTGTATGATAAATACACAGGTATTTCAGATCCTTTTTATTGTATTATGCTAAATTCAATAAAGGTCTCCAGAAATCCAAAGAGTAGTTTCTTCTACTTCAAGAAGGTGTATGTTCAGCTTGCCCATGGTGGAATCTCTGCTCTGTCAGATACTACTGTTGAGTTTTAACTTCTTTTTCCCTAAGAATTTCAAGTGCTTTCTTACCTAGTATTTTGAAGACTATAAATGGTTATTTTGAGAAGGAAAGAACTAGTTACCTTTTTTATGGAAAGCCTACTTGCTTTATTTTTCAAAGCCTTTCACTGAAGAAACTCTTCTTTCATTTGCTGCTTAAGAAACCAAAGGGCCTTATGCTGTAAATATGACTTGTATTTTGTTATACTTCCACAGTTCTAAGCCGTGATAGCATTAAGCATATTTCTTAAAGAATTCTTTGTGTATAATTGCTGCTGCGTTAGTCCTATCATTTTAAAATACCTGGGACCAATAAATTTGTGGTCTGGAAAACAATACCTAATACATTGTGATGCTTATGTGCTCTTAATATTCATGGTAAGCATTGTAGGTTATGTTAAAATATCCATGTAAATTGAAGTACAATACTAGAACTGTTGAACTATTTAAATTCATTTACAGTTGCTGGCACTCTATACTCTCAATCACACTCATGTCTTCTTTTATGTCAACCCTTCGAAGCTGTGTTTTGTTAGGGTAACCTAAGGCAAGCCTTTGAAGAATTACTTGAATCTGTATTCCTCTAAATTATTAGGAAAATAAGTTTATGTTAAAAACATCTCATAGGACTCTAAAATGTATTAAATTAATACATCTATGGCAAAGGCAGTCTTAAAAGTCAGTGTCCTGATGTCTCTGGACTGGGAGCTTTTCAGAACTGGATTTAGTTTAGCCTATTGCAGGGAAAGTAGAAAAAAAATGATCTGATTTCATTTACTAGACCTCCTAAACTGTGTGGTTTGGGGTATGTGCTTTTGTCATGGGCTGTACCAGAACATACACTGTTTTGTAAGAACAAAGTAAAAATAAATCCTACAGGTTCAAATTAAAATAAGCTCTTTTTTGAAGTGGTAATGCAATGGAATAAGGTCTTTATCTGACTCAAGCAATAGGCCTTTTTTCATTTATATGTGAGAGCATAACTTTGATTTCTCTTGTTTGCTGCAATTTTCAGAATGCCCAGAATGGAAGAACAACAAAGAAAACTGGAAAGGGTGCTTACAAAAGCTCTTAACAAAATTTTCCAGTTATTTAATTTTTTTTTCTAAACTCAGTGCAACAAAAGCAGTGAGTCCAATCCCTTTTCCACATAGATGCTTCTTGCTTAGTATGTCAGGAAACTCAGTGTGTTTGAAGTTCTCAAATGATTTCTTCTTAACTTAAAGGAAAGAGCACTTGCAAGAGGTAAGTCACCATGGCCACATGCCACTTGGCTCCTGCTCCAATAGTTTTTCTTTAGGAATCTTTGGCCAACTGATCTCTCCCCTTAGAAGTCGTTGTTCTGAGGCCCTGCAAGAGGCTGGAAGACTTGTTTTGTGGCCAGAGTGAGTTGTTTGAGAGCAGCAGTTGTGCTTCACATCCAAGTTGGTTTTTGGGAAAGACAAAGGGAAGGGACAATGTTACAAAATGTGGGTGTTCCAGGAGCTTCCTGTGGCTGAACTTGGATGGAAAGCAGTGCTACATCTAGCTTGGCCTGAAGCAGAGGGGGTCTGTCTAGTCCTCATGCAAAGTAAAGTGGAGAACACAGGTTTGGAATTGGTACATGGTTAAGAAACTACAAATGCTGTTAATGAAATAGTAACCTGGTAATAAGTTATTCTTTACAATGCCTTGAGGAAGACAAGGCACTAAATTACACTAAAGTTCTGCCCTTCATATTCAACTTCATTTAAAGGAAAAATGTGAAAGCCTGTCAGGTTGTATCATGACAGCAGCCCCTGTGCACCCACTTGGCTCACCCACTGTCAGCATGTCTTCATTCTACTGTGGAAATGAGGACAGAGTCTGGGCTGAAATGCCCAGCCCATCTAGTTTACATTGATTTGTAAAGGGAAGGGCATAAGTTCCTATTCTTGAAGTGATTAATCTATATTTTGTTTTCTAAAAAGGAGAAGCTAAGTGAAAATAGCTGCACATCTTACATCAGTTGTGCTTTTCCTGCTCTGGTGTATGCTGAATGAACATGACTGCACCAAGACAGCAGTGTTTTCCATATTAGAGCTCTTGGTTCCATTTGGGTTTAAGTATTAATGTGTCTGAAGCATCCTCTCAAAACTCAGTCACAGAAAACGAACTAATCCTGCTAGAGGAAAGGATTGTAATAAAGAAGCTTGAAAAACCTTCTCTACTTGGGCTAATGGAGAACCTTAAAACTACTGAGTTTCAGATTAGCTTAGAAGCCCCTAGTTCTGACTCTTGAGAGAAACCAGGAATGAAATAGCACAGGTGTCACTGGGGGAGGGAGCTGCTTCTGTTCCTTTTCATCACACAAGTGGTGTGCCTAAGGCACAGAACAGCCCTTGGAACTTGCTTATGCAGGAGGGCAGCAGTACCAGTGGAGGCTTTTGAAAGGTAAAGGAGTTAAAAGTTACTTGGGAGATGGGGGAAAGAAATTCTGCTGGGAGCATGGGAGGATGCTAGTTTATTTTAATGAAGATACTATGTTCTCCTCACTGTGAATAAGAAATGTTGTGGGGAAGTTGTGGCCTTACACAGGTGTTAAGTACCCCAGGTAAAAGGCTGAATTTTTGGATGTGTAGGTGCACAACATTTCAAGCCTTATTCTTTAAAACTTTCCTTTTCTGTTTCATCTTTTTAGCAACAACTGGTTCACATTTATGTGGAACCTTAACAAATACCCCGATTGCCTTTTAAAGTAAGAAAAATGTATGTTGATTTTTGTATTCTAACCTCTGTTGTAATGTTATCTGTGTCTGTTGATAGATAAGTGTGATTATATTCTAGATTATAGGATTTTTGGATTTTTCAGTTCAACTGCACCAAAAAACCAGATTAAATGAGAAGTTAGATTTGAATCAAATTCCATAAAGCTTCCATACAGGCTAAGAATTCTATGATACTTGTGTTATCTATTATTAATAATACATGCTTAGTCTGCCTACATCTGTGTGACTTGAGCAGAAAAGGAAAGTTTTTTAAACATAAGTTTATGAACACTGGATCTTGCATTACTAGATTTTGCATTGCAATGAAGTTTTTGGACTTTGGAGTGACCTTTGCTTATTGATTAGGGTTTTTTTATTGGGGTTGGGTGGGATATTGGTGATTAGTGCCATTTCCAATGAAAGAAGGGAGGGGAAGTACAGAAAAAAATACCCTGCTGTATATGTAATCCTTCTTTTTCTTTGTTAAGAGATATGCTGCATTTTATATACTCATTGTGAACTTTTCCTTTGGAAAGCTGTGAGGAAATCTGTCTGGAGAACTTCAGATGAGTGAGCTGATTTTCAATTGAGGTTCTGCCTTGTACATTACCTTCAATTAAGTTTTGACTGCTTTGCAAGAAAACGACACAAGGCAGTAAAACCCTGGATTCATACACCAAATCCTCTTGCCTTTCAGGCCTCACCCTTGTATCAACATAACAAATAAGCCCTGAAGTTGTATTGTCTTCAAGTTCTCTGGAACAGATGTAACTGCTGTACAGATTTCTGAGATGAAGCTGTAAATCAAAATGTGTTATAGTGAACTCAGGCCTTGTGCAAAATATTTAATACTTGTTTATTTGTCTAATTGTACAGTCTCTGTACTAGTGGCAGTTTTATGTTCTGATTGTAAAACATTAAAATTCTCATGGGATTTATAGTGATGTTGTTGTTGTGTCAGCCGTGATTCATAAATAGAACTGTCATAGCATGGCATTAGTGTATATCTGATTTATTGGACAGCTCTTCAAAACCAAAATTATTCTTGTATCAACTTTTAGATCAGTTACTTTAAAGCTATGTAAAAGGTACAGTGACAGTTTTGAGAAATACACATCACTTTGTACTCTGAATTAGGTTGCCTATGGAAATAAATGAATTTTCATATTTTCACGTTGGAAGATATTTTTATTGATAATTTTCATTAAATTAACTAACAGTAACTTCTACAGAACACTTTTCCCCTGTACATTTTGTTTGAAATACAAACAAAATATACTTCCCATGTACTTCTGAATTTTATCCCATGTACTTCTGAGTTCATTTCTTAGAGATTGCGGTCCAGACATTTGTCAAATGTCATCACATATTGCCTTCATGCAGTGGATTAAAGTTCTGGGGGAAAATTACCACGCTAGATGCCTCTAAAATTAGCATTTACTTTTTCTGATGACACATAGTGATCTCAATTTGCATTTTCACAGCTCATTGACCCATAAACCAGCCCTTTCTTTAAACCAGAGTTTCAAGATACACTGCTCTGGCAGGTTAGAGTTTGCCAGCATTCTGAAGAAATGTAGTTTTCAGCCTTTTGTATGGTATAAATTGTTAAAGTACAAGACATCTGATGTCTGATCTGCTTAGAAGCAGAGATGGTGTGGGAGAAGAGAGTGAAAGAACAAAAAGATAGATGAGGTGAAAATGGAAAGGTAGTATCAGCTGGCTTCAGTTCTCTCTTTGATTTCACTTGCTGAGGATGACAGCAGCCCCTTTCCTTCCACAGCTGTATCCATCAAGTGAGCACAGTCCTGTCATATGCCAGCTCCCTGCTGAGAAAATGCCTGCCTTAAATTGCTCAGCTCATCAGAGTCCTGATCTGACTGGCATGTCCTTCACCCTGGAAATGTTCTCTTTGTCTCTCCAGTTCTGGATATTGGTAGGATCCATAACTCCTACCTGTTTCTTAAGCTAGAAGGTTTCAAGTGCTGAAATCCACATGTTCTGGGTTGGTTTGTTGTGGAGTAGAGTTGACATTTTTATAAACTCTTTCATCAATCCAGATAGCCTAAATCTTCAAACAGGGAAGCTGGAGATATTTGCAGTTGGTTTTTCGTCGCCTGGAATTCTTTGATATTGTCAATGAAATTGTCTGTATTTCATCAGATATTTCACTTAAATATCTCTAGTCCAACCTTTGGATTTGTCATACACTAGAACTTCAATTAATCTTTTTTATATCGGCCTTTGTAGAGATGTGTTACCAGCTGGAGACCACTGCAGTTGCTCAGAGGACTGGAAAATGGTTCATAAGGTAACAAGGTGGATTCTGATTCCCTGTGCCAAACTGACAAAGCAGGAATTCAGTTTATACTCCTATCCCTGCACAAACCCAAAAGCACCTCAATAAATACTAGTTATTCAGGCTCTGAAATAATTTACTAAGTATTCTAGACATAAAATTTAAACTCCAGGCTTTTTTTTAAGAAATCTTTTTTTTCCCCTCTGCATGAAACTTGTCTATGAACTGTACTATTATGGATCTATTGCAGTTTCTTCCTGCAAATTAAGACTGTTCTGGGTGTGTAACGATTGGAAACTCAGAAGTGGTAGAAGTTTAATGACCTACCTACATTTACGTACCAATTTTTTAAAGGAATTTTTTTCATCCTTTTGCTTGTGCCTTAATTATTATTTGGTCTTTTATGATGGAATTTCTTAAAATGCTTCACCTTTTGCAAAACATCAAAAGACTAGGTTTTACATTCTCCTGCAATAATTAGTCAAATAATCAAAGAAGAACCTCCATTTGTAACTACATCAATGAAAACATTGTTATCTTTTACCTGGGAAGCAAGGGGTTTGGGAGCTGAAGTTATAACACAGGCAGCCTTTGTTCATGTCAGTCTGATTCTCCTTGATGCAACCTAGTACTTGTAAGAGTAAATAAAATCAAAACCTTGTAGAGTTTGATTTCCAGCAGGTGACTTTAGAACCACACACCACACAGAAGAATAACTGCTTATCTTCTGGACAGAAAAATCAAATTCTAGAGCGGAGAACTAAAAAAACCTAGAATTGGAATTCCTGCTATTGCCACGCAGATGAAATAAACACTTACCTGTGGTACCAAAGCTGTGAATAAGCATTTTAACCAATGTCACAGCAGTGACTTCAAATATTGCAAATAAGAAAATGCTAATGAAGCAATCAGAGGCCTCTGTAATTACTGTAAATTTCATTTGAAGAATCTATCCTAACTTGGCAACAGATAGATATTTTTATTATTTCTATTTTTAAGAATTTCTAAAAATAATTGTGTCTTACAATGATAATCTTAAAAAATCAAAGCAGGAGAATCAGGAAAAAATAAAATTAGACTAGAATATAATTTTCATACTTTTGTTGTTGAATGGGAAATTCAATTGTAGATCTTCCTCAAATAGCCTTATGCTACAAACCCTGGCTTTACTTGGCTACAAAATAGGAAAAAAAAATCAAAGTATTTGTAGAACTATATACAATTTTGATGCAAGCTGTGCTTAAATTCTTGATCTGTTATATAAAATAGCAACAGAAGTATTTTCTGTGTAATTTTCTGACTTGATAGATACTAAATGTCATTTCTGCAATTGGGGTGGTTTCACTATAAAGTACTAACATTTTAATCATTAGTCTGTGTATGATTAAATTATTGTTTCTCTATTTTTATTATCTAGCAAGCAGAAAACTGTTAAATTAGCTGATTTTTTTTTTCAGTTTGATTGTTCTTACTGGTTATATGTTTCCTAAAGAATTCATTGCTTGAGTCTTACTGATTTACAGCCATTACAAATAAAAGATTTGCAGTGAAATAGCAAATACCTCTTGCAATATCTTCATTGCTACATTTTGCAAACCAGAGCCATACAGCTGGAATACTTTGATTTAGCAAACAGTAAATATTTCTTAAGCTAACCAGATCATTAACTGGGTGCTGGGTAGGAAGTGTTACCTTATTCTATTCATGACATAGATAGGACAAAGCTGTGATTTCCAGCACATTGCAGAGATTAAATAAGTGTGTCTTAAATTATGTGA